TTTGTTGGAATTTATTTGCCTACACGATCTAAAAGTTTTTTCCTTTCACACTCGTCCTACAACAGGAAATCGTGACACCTCCGCAAAATTTCGCTACGATCGGCAAGTAACGATTCACAGAATGGAAATTGAACATTTTTTTTTTCGTCTACATTTACGTTCGATAACGTTGTCGAAACGGAATTTTCATTTTTTTCTGAATTTTTATTTTCATTGGAAAAAGTTTGAGAACATTATTAGTATTACAAGTATTCCAGAATTCTTTTAAATACTTTGAAAGCCTACAACAGTGAAAAAAATTAGACTTGGAAATAAACGACCCACTTTGACTACGGAGTGCGAGAAAATATGTTGACCTACAGAGGGTTAATGGAAGATATGATATGTAATCACTTTGTCTTCGTCGAGGAAAAATGTAAATTTGCTTATTTTCCGATTCGTTGATCGTGACATACTATTCGAATCATGAAGCGTACTCTACACACGTAGCAATTATACACACGACCGATTGAATTTCAATGAGCTCGGTTGCTAAATCAAATTTGCAGGATTTCACGCGATAGAATGTTCCTCAACGGGATCGGTGGCTCCTTTTCTTACGATGGTTCACATTTTTCTCGAGTCATGCGATCTTAATTGGTACGCTTTGGTATGTGATCATCCTTCTGTTCGTCGAAATTGCAGACGTTAACCTCTTTACAGATTTTTAATATTATATTTTGATGCCAGTTATTTACATATTAACTATAGAAGAGAACCATCCTTCATAGTTACAAAAATGGCGGACATTCCTGCCGTGTAATATTTTACACACGGACAATACCTTTAATTATCATTTTTATTACAGTTCACCATCTTAACCTTTTCCATTATAAAACGAAATAAAATATGTGTGTAACGAAAACTACAAAATATCTAGAGGTCAATGAAAATTTCGTTCTTAACATGTAAAAACTACTATAGACCTAACCACAAATCATAACTTTCGTACGTTTATTGCAAAATATGAGTAATAATTAATTTCTTTTATAATAATATTATCACTACTGATAATATGAAAATTGTCTAAAAATTCAACGTTGCCTATAGCAGTCGTTACATTTTTTTAAATAGTATTAAATAATAATTTGCATCAGAGTGAAATTTTTCTTTTTAAGGGTTGAGGGAACGGAATGCATGAGCAGAGTTTGTTTCACGAAAATTAAACGAATAAAATGATTCGTTAAAACTGGCGCAGCGGAACCGCCCCGCCGCAGCGTATGTTAATGCAATTACATTACGGGGACTAACAGGTTGCCCCACTTGTTTAATGTAACGACGCGTACAATCGCAATTCAAATATTTCACGATTATCGTCGCTCGAATCAATTGCGCTTTCCGCTGCCGTACTCGCTCAAGTATGCATAAACATGTTTATTAAACAATCGACGCTGCTACATCGCGACGTAATAACGTAAACAAGTCCTATCCGCTGGCGAACACTAATTAATGGCCGCAGGTGGAACAATATATCATTGTTCCCATCGAGTAAGATTGTTTTTTGGTTATCATCACTTCGATCTGGACGTACAATATTTTATTACTATACGTCGTTAAAAATTTTCTTCGCTCTTCCAATAAAAGAGATGCACTGAAAAATTAATTTTTTAATTCTAATATGTATTTCCGTAGTTTCTGGAATTTTTCATCGTTCTCCTAGTTGGCAACATTTCGTTTTGGCAGACGCGAGAGGTTATGGTACCGCGTAACGCAGAAATAGAATACGACCCGTCCCGTTCCTTATAATTGAGCGTGAGACTGATCGATTCACGTCAATATCACGAGAAGGGTCGAAATAATTTATAGTTACACGGTTGGCCCGAAAAATAAAACACAATATACAATCTCACGTTAGTAGTAGACAAGTAGGAGGGGGCGTAAGTGGGAACGGACGATAGTGACTTCACTCGTGTCTAGTCTCATTATCAATTCTTTTGTTTTGAGGTCAGCCGACTAAACCTGACACTCACACCTCGAGTTTTCTCGAATTCTTTCCGTTTTATACGCGTGATTTCTTTAACTCTCGCTTACACCTCCCAATTATACCCTTTCGGATAAAAACATTTCCATTGTAGCGATAATTTGTTCTTAAGAAATTAATTCTTATTAAACACGTTGTATACGAAAAATAAATATTTAAAACGTAATTCGGTACCTATTGAATCAGAATCTCCATTCCGTGTTACATGGACCCCAAGGAGATCAGCAGGGTTAAAATAGAATTTTCTTTTAAGTAAAGATATTATAAATAAAAAAAAAGCTCTCGAAAGCTGTTAAAACAATGTCACGTATTTATAAAGTGCAAACATACTTACGTTCATTTAAAAACTTCAGGCGCTTATTTAGAGAAGATAAATAATGTAAATATAGCGATAGTACTTATTATGTATCTTTGCAATGATAAACGTCGTCTACTAACACGGAGCGTACGTCTAAATTTACTCAACCCCGTTGTCGTGTGGTGAAGAAATATCTCATGAAATATAATCGACCCTCGATTACACGAAATAGTCCGCGAAAATGAAAGTCAATACGATGTTGTGTCATATGAATTTTCCACCTATCGTTAAATTTTCCACCTATATTTCAATCTTATCTTTCCGCTCCCCGGAGCATTCGGTGACTATGAGCGAGGCTTTACTTTCACGATGCAAGATCCGAAGTTAATACCCCTGGTGCTGGTGTTGCGCAACACGGTACGCAACGTAATGAAAACCGTGTGGCGTGTCGAGGGGCTCTAAGCACAATGATGTGACCTACCTATGCGGCCTGTGTTCGGGTTACGGCTGGAAATAAGTCATTTCTCTATTAAACCTCCTTATGCGGCGTTCACAGCTACGTCACCGTGACAGATGATTTACTGAACTCCCGGAACGATCGCGAACATGCCTAAAGTGAACTGTTGTTATAAATGGTATGACAAAAAAAGTTCAAAAAAGGTCACAAGAAACGTCTGCTGCATTTTAGGAATGTTGGATTCCGATTCGATTCTTCAGAAGGTCGATTCTCATGGATGACTGTCACTGGCATGTGTAACACACACACATTTACGTACCGAAGAATTCCGTGGAAATACAGGGGCAAGCGTTATCCTGGCATCCTGTCGATAAAAAGTTCGCTGCGTTACGAGATAAATTAACATACCGCTACACGTACTCGTTGCTTCCGTTTTCTTTTTCCCGCGCTCTCTGCAATTGCTTTCTCGCTATCGAATACCGCAGCTGCCGGGCAACACTTTCACGTAAAAACGAACTCGATTCTCCGTCGTACAGAAATTCCGCCGTACAGTAAATCCTCGATGAGTGTTCGAAGGCTTCGTGGCACTGAACATTAAATAATGAAATAAATATCTGCCAAAAGAAAGATGCTGGAATCTCGGGATTGAAATTGACACTCGAAAGGTGGACGTCTTTTGTGGTCATGGTTAAAGTGACTGTGTCCATTTTTCTTTTTAAATATGCATTTTGGAAAGGAGTCTGAAAAATGCCTTTTTTTGTATTAGACCTAAACAATCGTTAGCTTGACTTTGGTCAAAATATGTATACCCATCCGAAGATGAACTAACGCGCCACGAAACAATAATAAAATTCAATTTAAAAATTACAATAAATAAAAAATCAGTAATCAATTCTAAAAGTATACATTCGGTGTCGTGACGTGGACATTAATATGCGACGTTAGCGTTTCTTATCTACACTTCATAACTTCCTTAAATTACTCAAAACAGTTTCATTACATTTCGAGCCCCGTGTATTAGGGATGTTCGATTCCGATTCGATTTTTAAAAAATCGATTCTTTGTATTAGATTTTTAAGGGAATCGATTCTCCATGATTCGATTCAGAATCGTTTTGAGAATCGATTCTTTGAAAAGAATCGAACATTCCTATCGTGTATACCCAAAAGCACTTTCAATGATGTACGAAACAAGCGATGGATCGGTGAATTGAGCATGACGGGTAATCGATACAGATCACGATTGAAAAACGATACCGAATATTCCCATGTTGACGATTCCGCTCCGCATCTCTCGTGGTTTACGGGGTGACGGATGACTGGGGCACGTGACCGGTCACGTGAACGGCCCATCATTGGGAAATTGAGAAACACTGATCCATTCGATCCTTTGGGATACATTTTACTCACGGAACAGCGGAAAAAATCCAACGCGTGACTTACGACACGTCGACGGAGATTAAGAGGAAATTTTCCTCCAACTGCAAAGTCACACTCGTGGAACACACCGAATCGAGCCCACGTGAGTCATTCACGGCGGGGATCGTGCAGGTGTGCTTCCGGGAAGTTGAAGATTTGCGGTTGAAGAGCGGAGAGTTTAACCGACGCCGCCGCCGCCGCGTAGTTTCTCTGACCGTCGCGAAACGAAATCTTGATACGAGCTGACGCAGGAGCCTGTGTACCAGCGCTAAGCGGTTTCGATTGAAAGTGAAACGATGCACTACGCGCGATCCGAACTATTGATACGTGTACCGGGTGGTCAGATTGAATGCGGAGAACTTTTACAAGATTGTTGGGAAAGTCAGTTTTAAGTAAAAAATGTCATGTGACCATAGATTCTGTTCGTAATATTTATTGTCTGCACCAGACCGATGCTTTGCACAGGTGAAAGTGATTTATGAAAAGATCTTGATCTCGGCACGTGTTTAGTTTCACGTGGTTTCCTAATAATTAATTAATCCGACAGGCTACAATATTTTTCGAATACACGACCATTTGGCACGCTATGCAGTGTGTGTAACGGTTATTCCCCGTAAAATTTATACCATATTTGTTTATAGAATAAATGTGTAAAAAATAATACGCTGATAAAAACGAAAACTATATAAAATAATGCTTTAGGTACCATTTAAATAAATGTATTTTGTTAATCTTGGTTAACAGGTGAACGCATTGAACAGAAAATGCAATTCAATTTCGATAAAGCGACGATGACCTTGACGTGAACGCGGAAAGCATTTGTCCGTGACTACCTCGGTCACCGGAAGTGGAAAAAGGAAGAAGAGCAGGATGCCGGGCGAGATGCGCGCGCAGCCCTTAGGCACCGCATACGGTGGTAGCACGATGCAACCGGACGAGGAGATTCAGTACGCGCCAAGGAGCCGTCCTGTTAGCTTTTACGATAATTTTAAGGTGAGCGATCGTTACGTGCCCCTCCACGTGTTAATGTTTACGTTCGTATCTTGTCAACGAGAACCAGTGTTACGGACTACATCCACGTGTCGAACAGTGTTTCTCTGCAGATTAACTTTTCGACCGAATTTAATGTCTGGGGTAATAATGTTGGTATATTGAACAGTGCACGACGTATCGCGTTAAATTCTAGTAAGGAAAAATATGTGGAATTGTTTCAATTGAATTCACCGATCATATAAGGTACGGTCAATTGATTTGGTGAATGTGTATCGAATAGTTATCGGTAGTCTAACCTCGAATTTGTTTAGTCGAGTGAGTAACGAGAGTCAGATAGACCGCAACGGTTGGTCTAGCGGAATTATCTTCAAACGTGAGTGAAGGGTGTGTGTATGTGTGTCTAAACGCAGTGTAACGAAAGTATAACGTAAGCAGTCGAATACAGGTCCCCGATGCATCTTGTGCACCGGACATAATTCCTTTTATTAAGTGATACTATTGTAGACTGTGAAAAATTAGTTGATTTATTAATAATTAAAATTCAGTAAATGAAATATTCGATATCATATGTCGCCATAGTGGTCCCTCAGTGTGATTCATTTAAAGCTATTCGACGCATTTTTCTGTTCCGCTCTACAGGACGTGTCGATGGTGGCACCTTGCGTGACTTCCGCCCTGAGCGCGGACAATTTGAGCCAGGCTCGTGACAACGGTGTTAACGCGTCGATGGCCGCTACAAACAACAACAACAATAGAGTAAACAGCGCGGTCAGCGCTGGTAACGTGTCGAAGATCCATAGCGTGAAAGTCACAGGTAATACTTCCTGCGTCAATTTATTGAAAAAGTGTCACTATATACGAGTAGACTGAGGATATATACATATATGCAAATATTTGATCATGCAGCGAATATCGTTTTATCGTGTATCTCTATCAGACGTTGCGAGTCACAATCGACCCAGCTGTCAACTTTGACTGACCGTGTCTCCGATCGTTACGATTGGACAGTCGATGCTGTTTTTTTTTTTTAATTTTACAAAGTATAAATTTGTTAACGTCTATAATATTATTTGTGATATCTTATCCTAATGATTTCTGCAAAGTTATGCAACTCGTAAGCCCTCCGGGCCATCTTGACCTCGATATGCAAGATAAATATGTTACATGTTTCACGCGATTTACGCACAATTGAAAATTAATTTTGTATGTGTATAAAACACTCGACGTACAATACACATTTCATAAAAGAATAGACGTTATGAAAGAGAATTGTCTCGATACGGGGTCACGATGAACACGCAAAAAGTGTTAGATATAAAATATTGCATAATATTGAATTCAATTGTGTTACTGTAAATTGTTCATTAACCTGCCGAAAATTGCAACATAGTGCACTCATTACCTTCCATCTATCATCTACATTCTGTGACCTTGAAGGGACAAGGCTTCGGTATTTTTTTCCTTCGTTGTAAAATACAGTAATAATATGTTTGTAGTTCCTGTCAGGATTTTCTTTTTTGTTTATTTTTCTTTTTTATTCCATTTCGTGCGATCGATCGGACCAGACAGTGTCATTGTTGGCGCGGGACGAAATTGGAGGTGCCGCTGCACTATCCTAGGAAAGTTGTCCGGCTGAAAATAGAACGGTCGCGGGTGAAATTCGGTCGTCCGCCTGTACCAGCGTCGGTATTCGAGGCGGACTTTCTCGAATTTCATTTTGTTTCATGTGCGCTGCTCAATTCCCGCGAACCGCGTGCGGGCAAAACACCACCGTGCAAAATTTGGTCCGTCGGCGGCGCTTTCTAACCGTATCCCTCTCTGCGTGTGTAAACACAACAGCATTCGACTGATTCATACATTTTTTCTGCATCTCTGTCTGCCATCAGCGGATACGGAATCTGATCGTGAAAAAGAATATCGCCAGACCTTGGTTTGACTGTACATGTACTTATTTTAATTATTCATTCGAAATTTTCGGAGCAAATTTATAATGGATTAGTTGAGGTTAGGTTTTATAGTTCAAAGTAAATAGTATGTATTATATAAATAGAGGGCGTTCTTTAATCAAATATTTAAGGTATTCTATTCGGTATAAAGGAAAAATTAATGAAGTTTATAAGAAGATTCTTGAGTCCGTTAATTATTGAGTCAGTCGTGTATAATTTCGAAAGAAAATGTTTGGAATAACTGCTACTCTATTTGAATGAATTGGCTAGAAATCATAGAGATGCAACACCTGAAATGACATTAAGTTGGTGGGAAATGAATGGTCGTTTGAACATGTCAAGGTTACTATTGTCCGTGCTATAATATATATAATTCCTTCAATTGTATTTTGTATGGAGTGTGTAGAATGTGAACGAGATTGTAGTGTATGCTACCTGAACGGCAAACTACACGGAATTATATATAACCAACCATTGATTTCCTACTTGATAGAAAGTCTACGAACCTGTTAACAATTTTAAAAGATACCTCTTACTAAATTATCAAGAATTCCAATAAGTTGTGGCTCATTCACTTTCCATAATTTTTCGTCAAGTTTTACGACGCGCCGCCAGTTTTACTGTCTCCGAAGGTCAGCGAGTCAATTAACATTACGGTTAATGTACCCTCGTAAAACCGAATAACAAGTTCCGATTTGTTATTCTAACCCGAGTAACGACCGTGGGATATTATGTGTACCTACCTGTTTCCTGAAAAACAGGTGCAGTGTCGACGGGACATATCGGTCGGATCTATCGACCGGAAAAGGACAAAGAACTCGGTCGTGCCCCGTCGATGGCCAATTGTCTGTCGACCACGGTTCCCGTTAATCTGGCTGCTTCGCAGATCGCTGGCCGACACACGCCCACGAGGAACTCCCTCAGGCACAGCAGGATGATTGTGTTGCACCGTAGCGGTCATCGTAAGTAATCATACGCAACGATAACCCCAGATCTTTATTGCATGCGACAGAATGGCGAAAAGCCGGTGACATAAAGTAAAATAATAGTATTTCGACTGTTGCAAACGGTGTTCCGTGTATACATACGGTGAGTTAATAAGAACTACTGTCTAAAATAACTCATTACCTATTGGTTGTATCGGAAAATATTTTAATGAATTAGGTAGCATTTTAAGAGATGCATCGTACGGATACAATTAAATTTTTTTATATATCTTAAAATCGTTGCTACTTTAGAGAAGTTGACCCTCATCCGTCACTCATTTTCCAACGAAGAGGTAAAGAGTTATATTTGCAAATTTTTTGGAATGAAAATCACGGAGTCTCAGCTAAATTTATCTACACACGACGGAATGCAATAACGTCAATTTCTTCGGAGAAAAAGTGTGTCAAGTTGACAGAAGGGACGGGGGATGAAGGTTGAGACACCTCGGATTAACTTTGATAGCGCCCAATCGAGGGCTGCCGATGGTATCTGGAGTCGGATCTTAGGAAACTTTTATAGAGGGTATTAGAATTGGATTAGGTGCTTCGAAACTATTCCTCGAAGGTCCGAATAACAGGTTCTTGGAACCTAGTGTGTGGTTTCTGTAGCGAGAAACGAATCTGACGTTCCCGGAGTAGACTTCCTATATGCGTAGACACAGAGTATACGAAAAAAAGATATATCAAACAGTCTCCAGACGTGGATCAACATTGACCTAACCTCCAAAAAAGGAAGAATTAATTATTCTTTTAAACTTTTTGTTTTCTAACAATATAGGTCAATTTCGACTCATCTTATGAGATATTAGCTCGTTGAATAATTGCATAAAACATGATATATTCTCGTCTTTACACACATACCAGGTGTCCCAATGCCCAATAAACACGAACAGCAATGGTAGTTAGTTTATTTATACGAATACTTGTGATTATCGAGAAAAAATTGTTTATCCGCGAAACGTGTGCGTACGGGACGCAATAGTTGATTTATTTTATTTTCCTTTTTGCCCGGTATTGCATAAGACGGACGCAATACTTGTTGATTAACGAAATCAGAGATCTACGCGGGGATATACATATACGTCACCGTGGCTCGAATGTCACCGAGCGGCCTTTCACGGTGCAATAAACATTCTCGTGAACAAACGGTGGCGCGGTGAGGCATTAATAATTCATAGTTCTCCACTCAACGATCCCGAATACAGTATACTTTGTTCCTGCGTCATTTTTTTTTTATTTCATCTACGATAATTCTGTAGTGGGATTTTGTTATGGGTCACGATTGGCCCAGCCAACGGATTCGACAGCCCGTTACTGTAACGTAACCTAAAAACTAGAATGAAGTTGTCAGCGATCAACAACACCAACACGATAAAAGACCAGTTGACACGTGTCTTCAAAGAACAATTTTTTGTTAAGATATTTCGGACAACATTGACAGGTTGGTGGGAAGTCCTATGGTTCTCAGTACAGATGTAAATGACCTTTAACGATAAAATACTTACGCGGTGAAAATATCTCATTATATTTTTATACTTATAGGTATGTACACGATCAGTGGAATCTTTTCTTGTTATCTAATTGAAGATCGATAGTCGGAATTTAGTATATAGAAATTTAATACGCATATATTTATATATCGATACAATATTAAAACCTTCTCACGGCAGTCAGGTAGCTCCTGCAAGAGCTGCACTCGTCTTGGTCCGCTGGCCACCGGGCCTCGCGTTAAAAGTGGCTACACATATGGCTCTGAGCACAGCGGAAACGGCAAGCCGGAAATAATATCGTGTGATCTTTTTCGCGTCAGCTCCGTTTTCGACGTGTTTAAATACTGTTACTATTCACTGCATATATTATTCGAATAAAATTCTGCCCAACTCTGTACTTATCTACGATTAGCATTATCTTAGGATTTCTATTGTTTTGCCAAATGCAAATTAAAAACAGATGATATTTATTATCATATCGTTTTTTCATAATCTATTATTTTTCTTGGATATAATTGAGTATAGCGAGTATACTTATATTAACTCATGCATGAATTTTTATAAGTAAACCGTCATTCTATTAATTTCTCGCCAAATATTCGGAGTATCTGTGTACTCAATAACGATCGACATGCACGTGTATGGTCGTCACGTTCGAAAAAAAAAGAATACTCCAAAGGAGATTTCTCCCGATTTTACGGTCCTTGCTCAATTTCAATTATCCAAGTTCACTTTATGTAACCAGTTATTACCGGAATTCTTATTCGCTTGCAAAAGGTGTACGGTTGCAATGTTGCCCCGTCATGCTGGTTTCATGTGCTAGCTTATAACAGAAAACGTGAGATTTCGTGGGACTCGTGATCGGGCGAAATTTTCTAAAATATTACGGAACGAAAAATTGCTGTATCACGAAAACAATTCGAACACAAATTCACACGCCTGACGCATACGGGGAATCCCACTTTATACTTACCAATACACAGCGGGAATGACGAACATATTTCCATTATGGAAATTTAGTGAAATAAACGTTTCAAAATCGAGATTCTTTGAATTCCTGTAATTCTATCGAAATGACAGTATTCAAAATGTGTCATTTTATTTGTATTTCTGGTGACATGCAGAAATCGTCGTGTAACGGTCATGACGTGTACCAGCAGTGAAACATTTGTGATATTGTAGACTGCACTTTTAACATTGAATCACGATGTTTAACGGTATTAACAGTACGGATGTTCGATTTGTCTGAGAATCGATTCTTTACCCCGAAAATCGAGAATCTGTTTTTCTTTCTTCAATTTCATTCCCGTTACTAAAAAGAAAGTTTCTTAATGCAACTAAATTTGACTGAACGTCGAAGAAATGAAACCGAATGATCGATCTTTCTGTTTAAGAATTAATTTGTCGACAGCTTGTACATATGCGTATGATTTTTTACGATTTTTAGATTGATTTTTTGGTTTTAATTTTTTAAGGGAATCGATCCTCATGATTCGATTCGAGAATCGATTCATTGAAGTGTATCGAACATCCCCAGTTAACAGTGGTCCAAGAACGAATTTCTCGACGCATCGATGATCGAACGATTCGAATTATCGAGTACTTCGACCGGTGCACTCGTTCCGAGCGTTCGGTGCGCCACGTAACCCAAATGTGGAAACCTGGCTGGGTGGTACGTTTTCATTATCTGTTGGCCTCGATACATGAATAATGACGAAGCGTTCGACTTGCGTAAGAACAGACACGGTAATTGTGCAATAGCGTTGTCGAGTAACCGGTGTGCGTGTGTTGTGTCGGCCACTATACTTCCGATCTCTTGGAAATCCTTAACCGCCTCCGGATGTCGCACGATCCAGTGCCATTACCCTTCACTCGCTGCGGATTCAGTGACCGGATTCCAGAATAGAAATCCGGAACTCGTAGTCAGAAGTATATACACGTATGTTCACGTGAATTCAGATTCTTCCACGGAATATGTCGAGATATCGTATTTAACCTCTTGAGGAATTACTGGCACGTATGTATGTGTACATTTAGTTTCTTTTTCGTTCAAACATCATTCCAAAACTGTAATTAAATATTCACTAGGAAATTCCTCGACAAAAAATTGATTGTCGTTAATATTTATAAATATATTTTAATTAAATACAGCCGAAGAAAAAAAAAATTATTCTTTCTGTTCTTGTATCAATAGTGTCGGTAGATAAAGCCCAGCGAAGAAATTATATTACAGACTCTTCGCGATTATCGTCCCGAACTCCGAACGCCAGGACAATAATCTTATAGGGATAAATGCTTCAGACCCTCGTAAATTCGTTTTTTTGCCCGAAGCCCGAGCCCCAGAGACGAAGTATACTTTCGACAGATTCTACCCCACCCCCAGTGGTGGGGATAACGCCTGGATAATAATCGTGTAGAACTAGCCAGACGATAATCGAGAGGAGTCTGTAGGTATTTTTTTGAAGGTCTTAATAAGTCTTAATATATGCATGAAGATACGCAGCACGGAGGACATGAACGCATAAATTACACAGCGTGATCATAATACCTACAATGCGGGGTAACAGTGTACTCTACATTATACAAATTAACTGTAGCATGGCGAAGGTTGTGTCACTCTAGACCCATGAAATTTTTCGTAAGTCAGGGGTGTTCTTAACTCTTTCGTTCCTAATGTTGCAACGCAATAAACTCAAAGTTACTTCGAAAGAATCTTGTACCAACTCGATACCTAGCAATTTTATTATGGCGTCTTCTGCAATTATGTGTAATTTTCAGTTATTTTTCTGTTTTTTCTTGGTTACGATATATGAGAGTAAAGTTGAAAGTCCATTCGAAAAAATCTTGTACCAACTCGATACCTAGCAATTTTATTATGACGTCTTCTGCAATTATGTGTAATTTTTAGTTATTTTTCTGTTGTTTCTCTGTTACGATATATCGGAGTAAAGTTGAAAGTCCATTCGAAAGAATCCTGCACCAGCTCGATGCCTAGTAATTTTGTTATGGTATTTTATGTAATTCTGTGTGTTTGTCAGGATTTCTAGAAATATTGTCGAAAGTAAATTCGAAAGAATCTTGAAACTTATTACTTTTAGTTACTCTCCCTAGTTACCTTCACGGTCTACGGAAATAACAAACGGCTAGTTTTGTCAGATGGAATGAAATATTGGGGGTTGAAAATGGAAGAGTAGTCAAACGTAACAATCGAACAACATTAAAAATACTGAATCAACGACGAAGAAAGACGGATGGTATTTTAAAGTAACTCTTCGCAAAAATATTACCGTATCGTTTGCAATAATAATGCCACAATCATCGCGCAGCCGTTGTAGCCAGAATTTTTTCGAGTTACAATGGTACCCATTGTGTCGTCGCCGACAGGCCCAAGTTTGGCGCGCGAGTTGCACTCGACAGGGCGCATAATGTCTCTCCCTCCCCCTTGAAAGAAATTCTTTCACTTTCGCAGGATATTACTCGACGCGAACCGCATGTATAAACGAACAAAGGATCGTCGACCGACGAATGCGCGCCACGCCGAGAAAAAGTGAAGTTTACGACCCGACGAAAAAAATAAAAGCGCCGCCGCGATCGATACGGGGGTTGGGCGGGGGGTTGCTTTTCCAACGAGGGTGGCATACCAAACGAACCCTAACTGTGCCGCGACTAGACGCAAAAAACGGGGATCGAGAAGAATCGATCTGTCGAGATCTTCGACCCCGTCTAATCACACGGTTGCAAGAACTGATATTTAAAGCTAGAACTACTAATTTCTTGTTTTACCATCACTGAATACAACAATAACAAATTATATTGAATTTTAATTTACTGTATATTTTACATTTAATACAGTTTACATTATATTTGCGTTTGTAGAATCGTTTGAGTACCTTTAATTGACGTAAGTACTTTTACTAGAGTCAGTAAGTGGCACACTATTTCCATAACGGTAACGAAAAATACGGTTTGCTTGGTTAGTTGAAAGTGCCGTGGAACAGTCATTGTAGGATCGTTCATCTCTGGTCACGAGTCGTCCGTAGTTGAAGGTCAAAGTGCTTCAACCCTTTCGTTCCTAGAATTATTGAAAAAACTACCGAAGAAATATTTAGTGTATTTTCACTAAACTACGCTATAACTATAAAACTAATATATAACTACTAAATAACTAAAAGTACGCAGAAATGCATAGGACGCCATAATAAAATTGCTAAATATCGATTTGGTGCAAGATTCTTTCGAATTAACTCTCACCTTCGTTCCCATAAATCGCGACAAAAAGACTTGAAGTGTAGAACATGAAAGTACGCAGAATTTTATGGAACATCGTAATAAAATTGCCACATATCGAGATGGCGCAAGATTCCTTGGACTTAACGCGGCGACTGCTAAGTCCGAGAAGATCGCGCTTGTCCACGCATCGAAGTCTCCGTTGATCTCACCACTGGTGGAACGCACGGGAATCCCCTTGATGGGCTTTCTCGGTTTCGCTCTGCCATTATCCACTGGCCAACGAACGAGGATTCATGCACTGTGCAGAGAGAGAGAGAGAGAGATCATCACGATCTTTATTCCCCCTCGGGAGGGAACGGACCACTGCCAACTTCCTCGCAATCTTAAGCCGCAACGAATTATTCCCGTGGATTATTTTCCCATTGAGTCGGCTTTTTTCAGAATTCTTCTCGGAATATCATTCTGCGTGGACACGAATTGTGCAAACAGGATGCGTAAAGCGTGGAAAGATTTCTGTGAAAATTCGTTCGTCATTGTGTGTACTCTTCAGGGCCAATTGGGTCCAAACGAGCTGACTTCGGTAAGAATTACGAGAGTTGATTATTTTCACCTATATAAATCTCGTTAACGATGAAATGCATTTTTCTGTGATTCTGATTCGCGTAAAGTGACTTATGGATAATCGGTTTCTTTGGTCGTTCTTTGTAATAATTAATTCTTCGTATTAATAATTAATTATTGGCGATTTCCAATGGAAACTCATTCGATCTACGTTGGTGTTATTTGAATTTGACGCAGGTACGATGAACGGAGCGTTGACGTTATTGCACTTTTTTTTTTTGTTCTTTTGCTCACAAAGACACGAGGGAACAGCCGTTGCGAATCTTGTGCGAATAACTACCCCAGTGGGCGAGTTTCCTGACGGTATCGATATGGCAAGGACGGCACGACGTGTGTTCGATCGTCCGGTTCAGATACCTTGTATGGAGGGACAGCGAGGCCGTTTCGTTCGGAAACCTCTCCTTTCTTTCGGCCCTACATTCGTTTCTCGGAATCGGTCCGTGTGTCGACCTGTTAATCGGTTGCTTCGCCTACGGGAAAATGTGTGTCGCAAACCGCAAGAAAACATACACGAGATAGCATCGTACACACCAGGCGGCGATAAAAAGAGACACGGCTGGACTGGAGAAAATGTTCACGTGTGTATCGTCCGGCTCGGTAGAATATATCTGGACCCCAAAGCCAGAGTGTATTAAGTGAACTTTTTTTTTTTTTGCAAAAAATGATATTTTACATGTTTCTTGTATCAGATTTTTCATTCTTTCCGATGGTAATAATTACATAGTTTGCTCTAACTCGGTTAGTTTTTATTATAATAGAGTAAAAATGATGTCGAGTCTATATCGTGTTTTGAGCCAGTGTTGGAGGACCATCATATAGAGGACTTAATACAATGTTCATCATTTCTACAGATCCAGACTTATTTTAAGTCTGTTCAATAGATCGGAGATACCGATTGTTTCCCGTTCAGTTCTTAAAAATGTGTTAAAGGTAATGGACATTGAATATTTATTAGAATAAACTTTCGGCACTAAACCCTCTATCCTAGTTATTTTATTATTTGAATCTATTCCAATTCAATTGAGAATGTTTCCTATTCAAGGTCACATGACGGTCATACTGTTACAGGTCATCGGATTGATCTTGGACTCAACTACTACACTGTGAAGATCAAAATATGTAGTCCTATTTAAAAAAACATCGATGACCTTGAGAAAAATTGTTTTCTTATCAAAGTATTTGTTCCTTCTAACCAAATAATAATACTTTCTTCTCACATTTTTTTTGTATCTTCAAAAATAAGTTAATATAATCAAGGTGCTCACGGTAGGTGGCGCACCCTGTACGAGTATTTCGCAACGTACCATTGTGCTGTTAAATGTTCTCGGGGGTACTTTACCTGTGTTATCTACAAATCTTTCTTTCATAATATCTTACGCATCAACGAAAACTCGTTCTGAGCATTAGGCTCGGTGAAATTCAGATAGTCCAGCTTTCGTCTAATTTTCGCAACGTGTTCGCCTATATCTCTCTTTGATCTAACGCGATTAGCACGCAGTTTATTTCGCATAACGGGGTTTCCCACGCGCAAATTAGGATCGGTAATGTAGATCGCATTGTGATATCTCGGTGCGTTGCAAAGAACTCGCGTGTAGTTTCTCGCAGTGTCTTTCCGAGGAATTTACGAAATCCTGACGGTTTTTACGCTTATTCTTTTTGAAAACGTTTCTCTTTAGCGTTCTCTCTGGAATACTAAATCGTTGTTCTAGTTCGTAATTGTTCTATTTCTGTTGGTTTCTAAACTGAGAAAACTGAGTTCAAAGTTTACGAAGTTTAATTATTATAGAAGCAGGAAAATAGTGAAATAATGAAACACACTATGATATCATCTACTCTACCTATTTATTGCAATGTTCAACAAAATTTGATCTTATTGTCAACATAAATTTTTAATTCTTGTTAATATTTGGAGATCCAACCATGAAGAAAAAACACTTTCAGAGTTTCAGAGTTAGGACTTAAAAGAATATTTGTTGTTTTCTAGATTAATTTTTCTTTGTATTACGGTGAATTTGTATTCTTGAAAAATAAAAAAAACGGACCTTGAACTGTTAAGAACTCTCGATCGACGAAAATGTATCTCTTCCTTAGAAAGATTTTAAATGTACAATTCGAAACTTTACAAATCCAGGTCCATATAATAGTTTACTTACAAATATATAAGTATACCTACTAATTTGATTTTTTATCTGAAAAATATGAGCATTTAACTTCTTACAATCTTATTTATTAACGGTGAGAAATATTTTTCTTTTTCAGGACCACAGAAGTTTTTACCGCCGTTGGTCTACCACTGGCGACTAGGACGATGTTTAGCCGCGCTGCAAACGATCCTCGGTGTTGCGGTCACAGCGCTTTCGTTATGGCTTTTACTCTGGGCACCCCATCTACCTGTCGTCGATAATCCTTATTGGAGTGGAATGCCAGTAAGTATACACTGCACTTCGTCCTTCAACCTTCTTAAAAACAAACCATCGAAGGTAATCCTTCATTTTCGTTCTTTTTTTTCCCTCACAGTTGTTACTGTCGGGAAGCTTCGGGATTTGCTTGCTGTGCTGCTTCAAGAAGGAATATCCGGGGATGAGTCCTGGGTTTTGTCTCTCGTCCACCAAGGTAAACCGTGTTATTACCAAATTATAGAAAATTTTCTTTAGATTCATTTCGTTAACGTTAACACTAGAACGAAGGTAAAATGATTCTTCGGCAGGCTCGTGCTCTGATTGGTCAGGGTGTTTTGTTAATATCTCCTTAACAAAGCCTCGGAGAACTGTTTCCCTAAAGAAAAACTTGTTTGAAATCGCCCCATGAATTACTACGTTTAAAGACTTACATCTGTTTTGGGACACCATGTATAATAGACATATGAAATGTGAACCTCGAACCATCATTCTGCGTACCCTCACGAGCAAACTCGGCTTCCGTTAGGGGAAACAGCAATGTAGGTGTAAGGACCTTCTACCAGTTTGTAAATGTATTTCAAGTACTGAAATAAACATTCAAGTCAATGTTAATTTGGCATACATTTCAGTAACTCTGAGATCAAGTGACAAGAGGCCCTTCCCCTAGCGGAAGTCGAGTCTACCTGTCGGTGTACCCTCGCGTGCAAACTCGACTTCCGTTAGTGTAAAAAGTGATGTAAGAAAAACACCTCCATTGGTCTCGGAGTTATTGAAAATTATACGAAATTAACATTCGGTTTAACATTTATTTCAGTACTTGAAATAAATTTCTCAAGCAGTGGGACACCCTAACCTTGAGTTTGCACGTCAGTGTATATCCACAATTCGCCGCAGGTGCACTCACCGTATTCTCCCCTCGTGTTGTACAGCTAGTCAGCGTGTTCCTCGCGACCTTAGCGACAGCTACCTGCTGCGTCGCGTGCGCTTTCTCGGCGATCCACCTGGTCCGTCTGATGGGCTTCGAGTGCAACCCTGCCCGCGTGCTGAACGCCACCTGCGTCTGCAGGCCCCGCGAGGACCTTCTATCGAACACCACCGAGACAACCGTCAGGTACATGGATCTGAATTGCCCGGAGGTGGAGAGCATTCTGACCATTCTTCTGATATTCTCGTGCACCTGCAACGCTCTGGGCGCGTTTATCGCCGGTTGGTACACGTACCTGCACTGGAGCACCAGGAACAAAAGGCCCAAGTACATGCAAGTCAGAACCGGCCCGATCGCTGGTACCAGTTACCTGAACAGCCGACCGATATACAATCCAAATCTGAACGAACGATGACAATTCACCGACCAGGACACCTCGTATCTACGTTACTCGTCGCTGACGATGGACGATGGAGTGTTTTAGGTTTCGATCTTTGAGAGACCAGTCCCCATGGATGAGTTCTCCAGTCTTCTGCGTATTTCTGTTTAACCATAGAACGTGTAGTCTTGCCTGGAAAGGATGCATTGTGTAGTCTTTGGGACCGTGTTAATCTCCTGGGGAAGCACGTTTGACCTCTGACAATGAACGGACATTTCTATGGGTGTTTATGTTTGTGATTGTTTTATGAAAACCAGAATGAAAGAAACAGTGTATACATGAAGTGTACAACATTCATTGTAACAGTGTAGACCGGCACACGTGTCGCTGGTCGGTGTGTTTCTTCCCAAAAGAATATTGATGGTGGGACGGATGTTGTGATTTTTGTGGGCTTGGCTGAGAGTAGACGGTTGAGAGAGAGAGTGATGTCAAAGGGAACAAGATAAATGAATCAGTAACCAATCGACAGAGTTTAAAATCGTGTCCATTTCTCTCTATAAACCAGGTACCAGTTCTGAATGATGGGTTTGTAGAGAGGGAACAGGATACTGTATATTGTGGACACAGAGTAGGGGACGTAGCGGCGATAGAAGTTCATTGACCTCTGTAGCTAATATTGGACAGCACTAAACAAACGATGAAGTGCAGACCTAAGGTACGAAGGTAGTGTAGATGATGATGATGGATTTAGTAGAAGTGGAAGGTTGAAGTATGCGTGAACTAGTCCCGATATTTGTGAGTCGACCGGTATGCCTCGAAACTTATTCTTGTACCGTGGATTAGAATAGAAACCTTTTTTTGCTACAGCAATTGACGGTGTATAAGTAACGAAGAGTGAATAATCGGGGTAAATGATGTTCGACCGTTGTTTTTTTTTACGTAGACGTTAGATGGTAACAGTGATTAATCGTCAGAATGTGTTCTTAATATTTATTGTACCATAATGCACGTGTACTGTATTATAAATTAGATTCGGTAGTCACTTCCGAAACGAGGATCGATCGTAACTGCATTTAACGACGTAAATGCATTTCGATTTTATAGGGCTTTATGCATTTGCTAACTTCGTGAAACTTTTTTAGTCACATCGTTCTTGGACGTTTTTTGTAAACGTGATGGGGGGGGGGGGCAAATTTTACCAATTACATATCATTGAATTGTAGTTAAGAAAAAAAAGGAAACATCTTTCTTGTCGTGGGGATGTGTTTATAATATGTATTTAGTGTCTTCGAATGGTAATATTCGATTGTTGTGGATGAAATGTCATTTTTAAAAAATTTGAATTTAAAATTATCAAAGGCACGTAATCCTCTTGAAATTTTACTTAATCTTACGAAGTACATGTGGAGAAAATGACGTTTCATATACATTGATTTAATAAACAATAATTAAACAGATAACGGGTCATCCCACGTGAGATTAATTTTCGCGTGGGTCGTCAGTATTTTAGCTATAACTACAACAGAGCCTTTCATTTTTGGAAAACATAAGAAGACAAAGTTCTAAGTGTTTAGGGAAAAATTATGTTAAAGTAAAAACGAATTATATTTAATAATATAACACAGCTTTCCTTAACACCAAGACATCATAAAAATCGTATCAATAGTGTCTAAAGCAAAGATCCAAATTGGTTTTCCTTCATAAAAGTGTATGCATAGTGTTCATAATTCATAGAACTCAAATTGATAAAATGGTGATAACTAAAAGTCAAAGTATATCTCATTGGTGAAAAGTTTTAATTTTTTTATGATAACAGAAGAATAGTTCTTCAATAAAATATAGATTAGCTCGCGTTTACGTATGGAAGTTTAATTTAATCTATTGACTAGTTTTTTTTATAAATCTTAAATAATGATTCTGAACATTGAAGTTTTAAAATTCCTTAATTTTCATGTTGATCGCAAAACCACCACTGAATCATGATTTCAACGTAATATTAGAGAAATTAATTTGATGCTATTTCCAAAAATGTGAGAGCTCACGAGCGAACGTTTCGCGAGTGTGTAATTCGTGCGTGTATATCAGGTGAATAAGGATGAAAATGTCATCGATTTTTATACCTCAACGTAGAAACCGTGTAAGAAGAGTTAGCCTTAAGGTTTTTTCAATCGACGAACCACAGTCGCGACGCAAATGTGGGACGAGGACCGTTTTCACGAGGACTCGATGTACAATAAAACGAATAAAATCATTTCAGTATTAGAACCACGAGAGGTTACAAGGAACAAGAAATCGTTTAGTCTTCTATTTTTTTTTCTTTTTTTAAACACGTTTATTTTGTCTGACTCGGCTCGCGATGCTCTATACAAATCGGATCAGGATGACTTTGCGGCTTCCCCTCGGCCTCGTTTATTCGAATCTCCGGTATCACGGCGCATTCGCTGGATTGTGATTCCCAGGAATCGTGGAGAGTCTTTGTTATCCTACGTGAAAATGCATCGTTCCTTAATCGTAGGTCATTCTTTGATATTACATATTTATTATTTAGCGTATTCAATCATCTGTCATTTGAAAAAAAAATTATAATACGTTCCGATTGCAATTTACAGTACGAAAAAGAGGAATGATTACTTTGTATGTCCACTGCTTGGTCCTGTTCCTCTGTAATTACTTTCCACGATATGTTCAGTGAATATTTGATCGTGCGGCAACACGTCCTCCTCGACATCCGTCAATTCAGCTACTTCCGAGGAGGAACGGTGCCTACCGTGCGTTTCGATGGAATTCTCGATCGGAACTTCCGGTTCACCTGCGCGTAACCCGTAAATTAAGGCAACTAAAAATTGATATACATTCCTATTCGATCGAATTAATAATAGACCTTTCGGAACTTTCGTCTTTGTCGATCGTCTGGACAAGGCCGGTAACATCTTTTTCCATTTTACGAACGACACGTCGACCAGCTCCTCCCTTTTCTTCACTATTTTGAACAGTTTGCGTCGCTCTTCGGTTCGCTCGTGGCGCAATTGTATCTGTGAACACGACGACGACCAAATGTAAAGATTTCCATTACAAACAGAGTAGTATTTTTATATTCATTTCCGTTGATTTTTTATTTATTTGCGATTTTTTGTTGCATTGAAAAATATTTAGAAAAAGAGATTCTACATAGTTTGCGGATGTCTCGATCTACACTTGTTAACTTTCTTAATTCAATTTTAATAAGTTTCGTACATGGATCACCAGATATCTCGTTTTGATGGTACAGAAACATCGATCATTCGATCAATTTGAATTAATTAAATGGGAACTGAACCTCGCGGTAACTTGTAAAATGAATATCGAAGCAATTGCATGCCAAAAAGCAGAAGAAAATAGTAGTGATAGTGTGTCAATTATAGCTCAATGTTACATGATGGATATTCATGCGATAATTACGTAAATTATAGGTACAACGCAAGACTTAATGTGAAAATTCTTTATAAAATACATTTTGCTTTTGTTCGATTACCTTCAGATCGTTGTTAGCCTCTCTCAAGGATCCAGTAAGAGACACCATGTAGTAAATGATTAAAGTCATTAAAACAATCAAGGGTATCACGATACCCGGCGAGGCGATGTAATCCAGACATCTATAATTTAAAAGACATTCTCAAAAACATCACGAAGAATATCGTTTACAAGCCTCGTGAACCATAAATTGCTGACAAACGTTCATGTTTGTATTACCATATAATTATCGTAAAAAATAATAGAGTGAAAGGAACCTTTGGATCGGTTCTGGAAGGGAATCCGTGAGCTGTTTCGTCGCCAAATGATAAATCTTCTTGTAGCCGGAAAATGGACCGCAGTGCCAAGATGGTTCCACCCAAACTATAGCGTAACCGACCGGTAGCACGCACAAGAAGAGCATCGTTAGCAACAGAGCGAAGTAAAAATTATTGGACCTGTGAAAAATAACATTACTTGATACACATTACATTTACGAAGCTAAGAAAATGGTGAATTATCAATATACAGGATCGACATCACGGCAGTTTCGTAGTTTCGTCAATTTATTATACAATATATTTATATTCTAAAATATAAATAAAATATAATTTCAATTTTTTAAAAATATACAGTTAAATTCTGAAATATAATACGAATGAAATATAATTTCATTTATATTCTAAATAAAAATACGTGATACTTCCGGTTTATAAGTGTTCGGTGGCGCCATCTGAGACGCACCGAGTTCCGTTTCTGACGATCCGAGGTCAAAAACACGAAAGTTCCCACACACTCGATTTTAGTTTCAAATGCTTTCGTTTACAATCAATGGTTACCTGGATGCTCGAAAAATGACTTCGTGCGGCACGTTGCAAGTAAGCACCGCCCAGGATCGAAGATACATGAGAATCCCAAGTTTGAGCAGATTCAGCGCGATTAAACCGGGACTGAAGAACATCCCCATCCATATCATGCCCTGATTGTTGACCAGGTGAAGTATGCTCTCCGCTATCTTGAAGTCCCCGTACTGGGGAAACTGCTTCTCGAGGTCCCAACACCAGAAGCTGTTCATGAAACGAACGAAAACCGCCCGAAAGAAGTCTATGCTGAGCGTCGACACTATGTTCAGCACCTGAACAGGGAATGAGTCGAATGGGTATCGAAACACTTGGTTATTGACCCCTTAACCACAGACTTGTTTTGGAGATTAATAAATCGGACAACGACTGCTTTGTGACATTTTAAATGTAATATGTGTGTAACCAACTTAACGTTTAGTTTTCGTTATCAGTGTGGAAATGCAGTTTGTATACCACTTACTGAAGGTAAGTGCGTCAATTGAAAGTGTGCACTTAACTAGAGCTTCCAACATTCTCCGCTAGATGGCGATAGTGAAGTAAAAATTCAAACACTTCTCTGAGACGACAACGAATCTGTAGTTAATGAATTTCAAGTATTATTTTCATGTTTATTGTATTCCATATTTACCAGGTCCATCACGGTCAGTTTGGCCAGTTCTTGGCCGAACATCGTCTCCCAGCACAGGCGACGCAGCTTCTTTCGTGTCTTTAGATCTAACAGCTTCGACGAAGCGGCTGTAACGAAAAGAAGATCCAAATATTGAACCGGACAATTTATTTTTACTCATCGATCGTTTATGATCGTCGATTCAGAGAAAGTTTTGTCGGTTTTAAATTGAACAAGTTAATATCTTTCTAAGGTTGAGTTAATAACAACTGTTATCTGAAATAACTTATAATCTATTGACTTTAACAAAAAAAATGTATCCAATGGGGCTCGTCGAACAAAGACATTTCACATTCTTTGTATCCTATTCATCCGAATGTTAAGGTGATCTTGAGTTGTTTTTTTAAATAACACCGAATATTTTTTACGACACATCTGTTATACCCGATACAAAAATGAATTTTATGATGCATAACAAAGTAACCTTGATGTGACCTTCACTCCCCAAAACACAGGTTTTTGTTAAACTGAACAACAGTATATATTTATAAGTATTTCAATACTTTGTAGTAATATAATTCGAAGGGTCAGCCGACAAATCTTTCCGAACTCAGAAAACCATTTCTCCGTACTTGTGCCCTGCGTGGTCGTCGTGCAGACCTGCTCGAAGCACTTGACGACGTAGTTGTCCGCCGCGAGAGGAATCACTCGTTCGTCGATCGACACCGAGGAAACATCCATGGTGGTCATTCTATCGGTAGTGTCTTCGGTGGATGTGTTTGTGGTCGGTGACCCTGTGACCCCCGTACCAAATATATACTCGTCTGACGTTTCAATTTCTGTTTCAGATGACATAGAAGACGCATCGATAGAATCTTCGCTTGTGAAGTTTGACTCGATTGTATAAACACTGGAGCCAGTCACTTCGTCGTAGGACGCAGATCCGTTGGAATCGGCAGTGAACGTTGTGTCATTAACTTCGTCGATCAAGTCAATGAAACGGGTACTGGTGGTGTTGTCATCGATAGAAGATACAGTCACGTCAAACGTGTCGTTGCTTCCGAACGTTTCCGAAATGGAATTCTCCGTTTGATTGATCGATTCCGTCGACGGTAGAGACGTAGATTCGTTGGTTTTTGTGTCCTCGAAATCGTAATTGTCGTAGGTATAGTCCAGAGGTGGATAGTCGCCGACGTTGTAGATCTCCTCGAGCGACTTGTCGTCGAGGATCGGATTCAGGTAGAAGTTTTTGGGCATCATCGAGTTCGACGGCAGTGCTGCTGCGTTCACGAAGAATTCGATATTGCTAAGCGGTGTGTTTTATATAAAATTAACAAATCACTATGTAGATTTTACAGATAACGTACTTGCTTCGTTATCGTACTGCACGCTGGTTACATTTCCCGCCAAAATTAAACTCAGAGACGCAAGGGTCACAAACGGTCGCGACCTCGTCATCTCGTTACTACACACGATTGCGTTGTACGAACAGTTAGTGACCGTTGGCTGCAGATCTCGTAAGTCTTTTTTCTGCGATGTAATTTATTATAAACAAATCTGACGAAATGGTTTAAGAAAAATGTATACGGTACATATTAAGTGTACCAATAAGTTAATCACTATTTCTTCACGAAATCGGTATTGTATAGAAATCAAGGATCTATACTCTTTCGTTCTATGTTCAGAATAATTTTCCAACCATCCTACACCATTTTTACTCAGTGAAACATCGAGAAGGTACTTTGCATTTAACATGTATCGCCTCATAATTAGAAGAAATAATGGATTACAGTCAATCATCGATAAATGTTCGAAGTCTCCTCGGCATTGACAACGAAGAGTTCCCCAGATGTAATGCTGACTTTTTAATGAGGTTTAGCACAGTAATAGAGCACGTAATTCTGAAGCCAATAGTTTATGAAATATTCAATGTTTAGTTCTGAGGAATCTTCAAACATTCATCGATGATTTACAGTACTTATGGGTATACCTAATTTGTTAGAGGATACTTACCATTGAATTTATCTTATCGAACAACGCGAATATCAACGAATAGAGGTTCAGTAAATTCAGCACCATTATTCTGTAACATGTTTATATAAAAATTCTCGCGATATTTAAAACTGTCGAATATCGAACGATAAGATCGGTGAATACTTGGCCGTCGACTCACCGAGCCAGTTGCAAACGAAGCTGCTTTCTCGGATGGTAACTCTCCAACAGACCGAGTATCTCGAAGAATATCGGAAACACGTACGTGATCAGAGACATCACCACCGTGGTCTCGTTCTGTCTCCACCAATCGTTCTGCTCGAATTCTTCGGCGCTGCGCGCGACCACTTTAACCACCGCGTACGCCGACAGTACCAGCAACGAGATCACAGATATATTCACGAAAATCCTCATGAATATGATTTTCCAACTGAAAAATCGCAGACGGGTTGGACACGTGTGAGAAAATTCAAGACGTCTCCCAAAAAAAAGGCCGATGAACGTTGATCCCCTTTAACTGGAAGTATGTACCAAGATGGCCGTCGAGGGGATCAAGGATACACACACAAATTTTAGAGAACCGATTCAAAATAATTTTACGAAGATCCTCATGGATATGATTTTCCAACTGAAAAATCGCAGACGGATTGGACACGTGTGAGAAAATTCAAGATGTCTCCCAAAAAAAAAAGGCCGATGAACGTTGATCCCCTTGAACTGGAAGTATGTACCAAGATGGCCGCCGAGGGGATCAAGGATACACACAGATTTAACAAAATCGATTCAAAATAATTTTACTTTCTTTCATCTTTCTCCTTCTCGGCCTCCTCGAGCAGCGCCTCCTTGAACCCAAGAACGATACTGGCGGTCCTGTTGTGCGCGGTTTCCGGGTTACCGATCATGAAGTCCCAACCGGTGAACAATTTCCACGAAAACACGCATTCGTCCTCTTTCTCGGTAAGCTTGCTCAGTCGCGAGTTCTCCGCCATTCTGGAAAGAAAAAGAAAATTCAAGAAACATTTCTAATATTAAAATTAACCTTATGTGTTAAACTAACACAAGGGAGAAACGAGGGTTAACCTCTGTGTCGTTCGAAGGCTGGGTCACTCGGGACCCCGAGGCATAAAATCCTCCTCGAAGCTATATGCTATTCGACATATTTTTCTTTTTTTTTTGTTAATCTGTTCTTTTCTCGCGAAGAAAAATTGTGAGTTTATTTATTCACTTGCGCAATATGGCGACGAAGCTGTAGATATAGACGACCAGATTGGTGACGAAGTAGGCGAGCGGCAATCTATAACCGCTATCCGAGTCCTGATTGGTGTACCAGCCGTAGAAGAATGGTGAATACTTGAGGATACCCTCGAACTCCCAAAGGGTGAGCAGATGCTTCGATTTGATTCTTTCCTCCCTGAGCATGATCTTCCGTTCTCCAGCAGCAGCTAGATCCGCGGTGAGCACCTGTCGCGAGAAAAAGATTGAACTACGTCATAAGGAATCGGCGGCCATCTTTGTTCACGCGTGGATTATACTGAATCGCAAGAAGAATTTGGCCTTTGATCAAGAATTATGGAAACTCGAAAATCTTTCGAAGATACTAGAATGGACCAAAAACTCTAGAATGATCGCTGAAATTTTGCAAACGTTATGAAAACTGGAAAATCAGAAGAAATTTAAGAAAACTTGAAGCAAAGTGACATTGTCCCTGAAATCTCGTAAATGTTACGAAAACTCAGAAATCAGAAGATAGTAGAGAAATGACTAGAAATGAGGCTGGTAATTAGGTGTGACAATCTTTTGCTATGTCAGATATTGTTTATGTACCTCTGGAATAGCGACGAACGCTGTGATGATGGCACACATAACGAGATTGATCCAGAAGAGCCATCGGAGGAAGGTGAAGTAGGAGGACACCGCGGAGCCGAAATGCGACTCTATCTCTTTGATTCGTAGTTCCCAAGGGACCAGCCACGTTTGAAGATTAACCAGTTCCCTTCGAAAGTATTGCAATTTCTGCGAACAATAATATTTTATCGATTTGCATATTTTGAATTTAAAATTTTTAGAGTTCAAAATATTTCTCGTAACGGAACACCCTATACGCGTACACCGACCAGCAGACTCGGCTTCCGCTAGGGGAAAATGTGAGGTAGGCGAAAGGCCTCCTACCATTTAGTTTCGGGAGTTACAGAAATTTATGCCAGATTAATATTCGGTTTAACATTTATTTCCGTATTTGAAATAAATTTAGTAAGTACCGAGAGACTTTTCTTCTACGCCACTTTTTCCCTTAGTGGAAGCCGAGTTTGTTCAAGAGTGTACACACTGTGTACCTTCGTCGTGAAAAGCGAGATACGCGCGATAGCGTCTTTCGTGCTACGCGTATGGGCAAGACGTTCCTGAAGAACGCCCTCGTGCCTCCTGACGTACGCCTTCGCCTGTCGAACGAGCCTGATCTTTCGACGAAGCGGCCACGGCTGCTGCTTCACCCCGGACAACACTTCCTTGTGTAATTTCAGTTTCTCGAATATCTGCTCCTGGCTGCCGTTCTCCTCTATCGAAATGGCGGTCCTGTAACATCGATGACGTCAAAGGCAGAAACCGTGAGACATGGATTATATGTGCCCAGACGGTAACGTCACCAGACAGTCGATTTTTTTTTTTTTTTTTTTTTTTGGCAGACACGTAATGTTACTAAATAATAAGATGGATTTTGTTTTCGAGGGGTTCCCTTGTTACAGAATATTCTAGCGATCTGAATGAATAATCATAAATGTTACAGTGAAATACGGACTCTCCCGAGCTAATCGTGTAGACAGAAGATCTTCGACGAAGCGTGGCCTCCGCTTCGACGCCGAACGGCGACGACGGACGTCGTTTCCGTTTGCTCTGACGTCGGCTAGAGCTACGACGCTGCATAATTGCGCACGCTGACGCGGAGTAGTCGTCTTCGTCGGCCTCTTCCTCTGAAATTCAGGAAGTTTTCGTATTATTTATTCACAGACAGAAGCTGTCGGTATGCAAAGGGAGTAATATAGAAGAAAAACTTTGCCTCTTGATACATATTACGTAAACCAAAATGACTGCCGCGCTCCACAATTCCAGAATGGGAACAACGTAAAACGGCATTGAAAAACGAAAGACGTAAACATAAAAACGTAATATTTGTTTAGTTATACCTTGGTGATTATAAGTGATATCTTACGATAACAATGAATACCTAAATACGTAGTAATATTACGATAATACAGTATTCCATCGATCACTGTCCGACTGCTTCTACGCGATTTTTGTCAAGGGAGGTCATGGAACCTGTCGAGCACATATTATATTGCCCCTCCTCCCTGCTTTTGTTGCAGAGAGCAAAAAAACAAATTCACGAGTGTCTGCAACATTTCCCCTCTTCGATACTTGTCGCGACACGGACCCGAGTTCTTGACAATAATCGACGGAACACTGTAGTAATCCTCACGACGTCGTCGCTAATTTTAACCAGAAAACAACTGGCAGGATACATACCAGCGATGGATATCCGCTGCATATCACCGATGACGTCACGCTGGTCCACCGTTTCCAGTGGCTTCGCTTTCACCGCGATTTCCCTCGGTTTTCCGGTGTCCTCGTCGTCGTGGTTGTCGTTGTCTTCGGTGGCGATGGCGAACGTGACTGACACACGGTCGACGGACGGCTGGGGGGACGATGGTTCCACCTACACCGACGGGCAAAGGCCAGCGATTAGTTGCATGAATCTCGCCCGTAGATCATCCATCGTCACGCCACGCAGACCCTGCAGGCTGACTGGGTTAGGTGTTGCCCCGCTATCGGGGCAGCGAATGATAGGGCTCGAACTGGATTCCGAAAGATTCGATTCTGATTTTCCTTATTAAAGAGTTCTGTCATTCGTGTGCGTTGACGATGAAAAGGGATAACTTGAAATTTCATCCTCGAACGATAATGTGGGTTTGAAGGTCGTATTTGGTAAGGTGGGGTCAGATCCGACCCCACCTTTTTTTGCTATTTAGAGACGGGTATGTTTTCATCTACCCTTTTTTTCCAGGGTCTTCAAGATCACTCTCAATTTTTTTTACAGATAAACCTGTAATTTCTTTACAAAACAATGAGAAATCATTTAATCAAGACCTTCATTACCTTATATAAGTCCTTTAGGAGCTACGGTGAACACTCGAGGACCAAAGTATGGTGTCGATAACTCGTAAAAATTTAAACTTAGTAACTAATAAAAGTTTCACGAGGTGTTACTTTGATTGTATAAGGAGACAGTGTTCGAAAAAAAAAAAAATTGCAAAGGGCCACTACAGGGGTGAATCAACGTCGATGGATCGGAAGGAACTGCGATCGCATCGATAGGTGACGCGACGGTCATCCATCGAGGAAGGCCACTACAGGGGTGAATCAACGTCGATGGATCGGAAGGAACTGCGATCGCGTCGATAGGTGACGCGACGGTCATCCATCGAGAGAACACCGCGCCTGTATCGTGGCCCATAAGTCGCGTGGCCGTTAATGACCTCGACCACTCGATACTATCGGGAACACGCGTTCCAGGGCGACACTACAAATCCACGAAATCACGAACGGGCCGTATATCACCGGTAAACAGGCGATGCTTTGCTTTACGAACCGATCAGAATCGATGGATTCGTGGAGCAAACGAGACCTTGTAACGACGGTGTTAATTAACAGTTCAAACTAACGATGCGGTGAATCAACACATTGTGCGATGGCAGGATGATTTGTTCGGTGATATCGATACATTATTTTAGGTTAGGTGATTTAGATCAAATGAAAGTACAGAAAATACTTTGGAAATGAGTCGTTTATATTTCGAATGTGGTCTAAGTCGATTTTTGTTTCTTGTTTGGTTATTTCTGATTCACTTACCTACCCCTATTTATGAATATCGTCGCCCGATTTTGTAACTGTTCTAACATCATTTTTGAAAAAAATTTACTTATTCTACGCGCGTCTCATCGGTCCAAATAACACAAATTCACAATATCAAGAAAATTTAACCTAGAAAACGACAAATATTGTTTTAAGTCCCCCCTTGGGGGCCTTGTCGATCGAGTTCCAAACCACAAATGGGCAAATACTCATTATCAAGATAAAAAATTCGAACGACGAATAAAAAATAAGAACATAGTATTTTGTTATTTTTAATCGATTAAACGTGGAAATGCCAATTGTTATAATCACACAATATTACTTCTTGAATGATGAGTAAACTCCAAGGAGAACAATTATGTAATCCCATTAACTGTTTGAAGGTTAGGATGACGATTTTAGATACTGTTGACGTTTTCTGTACATTGTTCGAATAAAATTCTGTCCGACTCTGGTCCAAACGATCTACTAAAGTTCACGGATCGATGAACCACAGAAGGAGTTTTGGTTGTCTACCCTCGCGAGCAAACTCGGTTTCCGCTATGGGAAAGAGCGACATAAAAGGAAAGGCCTACTACAGTGCTGAAATAAATGTTAAAATAAATGTTAATTTAGCATAAATTTCAATAATTCCCAATACCAAGTGGTAGGAGGCCCCTACGTTACTTTTTCCCTTAGTGGAAGCCGAGTTTGCTCGTGGGTGTACGTGGATGATCCTGCTTCGCGAAGTTGCACGCGACCTGCCGCGCCTTGAAGGGTTCTACGACACATTCGAACCAATTCGAACGCGCCATAATGCTCGTGTATACATATACGCTTCCCATTTTTCCTGCGACCCCACCCGGTTAGTTGCTACGTTATGTAATCATTTCACTCGAAGAGGACTCTGCTGGGGGTCGTGTAACACGCGAGTTCCAGAGCCTCACGAAAATCATCCTGGCTCCTCACGTCCACGGTCCTCCTTGCCACGTGACGATTCGCAGTCCATCCGTCCGGTGACAAGTCACGAAATCCAACGCTTATCGTTGTTGTAGTTTTTACTAATGACTGACCCACGTGAAAACGGTGATGGATGCGTCAACGACCAAATTTTTTTTTTTTTTGCAGAGTTTTTCGATACACTATTTATGGAACTCGCTTGAACTTATCGGTTGTTTTACAATGTTGAACACATTGTGGATTGAGTAGTCTTTTGAAGAAGAACAGTATCGAAATGTTACAATGTAATTGTTAGTACATTTTAATCCGTTTCTTTAACCCTTATAGTACCTTGTAAGTTTTTCGGATACCATCCAAAAATATCTTAATTATTTATCATCTTCTAATGTAGTTTTTATCGCTTAAATAATATCGGTAACGTTTTTACCTTTAAAGGTTTCCTTAACGCGTTTGATTTCATGCGTTTGTCGGAAAAAATTGTGAACAAGCCTTCGTTAGCATTGATACGCAGATTAATACCCGGTATGGACATTCTTAGTATTCATTAATAAATTATCGAGAATCTAATCAAACGCGATAACGATCTTTACGTTGCACGCGATGCCGTCTTTTATTACTGATACAGTTGCTGATTAAAACCACAGATGTGTCAAGGAAGCCACAAATACGCTTCATTTGATCTTTAATTTTTGCATAAAAACGTTAATTTCTTTGAAGTGAATAAAAAAAAAATAAAGCTTTTTTAATTATTGTTTAACGATCCCCATAATAGTTACCATTCATTTTCTTTTCACCATTGAAGGATTTATATGTTCGTATAGTAAGAGAAACGAATGGAGTATTACCTTCTGCGGAGATAACAACGGTGACGTCATTCTTGATCGAGATCGAGACAGACTGTTCGATCGTAAAATTCCCGATTTTTCCACAAATTGTCCTTCAACCACTCTACAATCGCCATTTTTCTCTTTATCCATGTTTTTTATCACCTTTTATTAATTACCTTTCCCGTCAATCATCCTACAATTAATATACGTCGAATAAAAATTGTTTCGATCATTCGCAATTCTGTCCACCGGAAGTGAGACTAGATTTCTGGAAATTGCCAGGTTCTTTCTTCAATGCCTTATTCAGTTTTTCATCGAGTGGCTACGATACATTATAAGCTTATGAATAATAAAACACACACACGCACACAATTGTTTAGTAAGTAAATCCTTATTATTTAATAATTAGATTATTTTAAATTCCAACAATAATTTTAGGTAAGATTTCACGAGATTAGAGAATTGACTAATGTCCCTAACGAGTTGTCGTTTGAAAGCTCAATTGTTCTGGTCTTTCCGCGGTCTCGCGATATACTGGTCGCCACGAAGGTAGTAAAAATACAAGCTCTTTCAGATTAATGAAGCTCGTAACATGATTACCTTATGGAACATAAGGGATAGTAGCACGCATTCTGGTCGCACGCCATTAACAACGATAGATGTACAATAGGATAACCCCAAAAGACGTAATTATTTGTAAGGACTGAAAGTGTTACTCTGATAATTGCATTAAACACTCGCACATAAATTTTCGTACAGATATTTCCTACAAATTTTGTCATACTTTCGTGTTTCGTTCCCATAGTTAGTATGTATGTTATTGGATTAAAATATAAATTTGTATCATTCAGCCATACTCATGGGAACCCTCATACTTCCAAGTCAGTTGCACTGAGATGACTTGCATATAAATTACCACGTTCCACCAATTTTCCGGGACTCTGGCGTCTCCACCGGGGGTTCTATGACCCCACGTTCCACCAAGCGGGGACTCTGGCACCTCCACCGGGGGTTCTATGACCCCACGCTCTCGCCACACGGGATCTCTGGCGCCACCTGCGGGGGTTCTATGACACCACGTTCTCACCACGCGGAGACTCTGGCGCCTCCACCGGGGTTCTATGACCCCACGATCTCACCACACGGGGTCTCTGGCTTACTACAGAAACTAACTACTGCCTACGTCTTTTAAACTTGGGCAGTAGTAGTATCTGCAGAAACTGCCATGGTTGCTGGGGTTATTATCTAATTTCTTCACGGGAACACGCACAAGCGTCAGTCCCAATTCGACAGTTGCACGAGCAACATTCGACCGAGCTCGCGAGTTGTACGAGCAACAGCGATAAAGGATCACGTTTCAAATGGTTACTGACGCAAGCCATTTCAGTACCGTTCATTGTCCCGTAATCCACATGTAATAACAACAGATCGAATCCGGCAAAGGACTACTGCAAATTATTACACACGTCTATCGTATACCACCGGTAATCAAAATTTCGGCGACAAACTTATGAAACCTTTATGAAGTTTTGAAGACTGCACGGAAGACTTGCAAGTTACAGAGGAGAGAATTATTTGCGGCATATAAGTTACAATATTTTATAAGCCTGAATAATATCTAAGCCTACTTTTTAAGAATTTATATCCTTTGCCGGATTCGATCTGTTGTTATTACATGTGGATTACGGGACAATGAACGATACTGAAATGGCTTGCATCAGTAACCATTTGAAACGTGATCCTTTATCGCTGTTGCTCGTACAACTCGCGAGCTCGGTCGAATGTTGCTCGTGCAACTGTCGAATTGGGACTGACGCTTGTGCGTGTTCCCGTGAAGAAATTAGATAATAACCCCAGCACCCATGGCAGTTTCTGCAGATACTACTACAGCCCAAGTTTAAAAGACGTAGGCAGTAGTTAGTTTCTGTAGAAACCTGTTGAA